ACATTTATCCACAGCAATTTAACATAATGCAAAGCTGTACGTGAAACCCATTGCTGTTAAAAATTAAATTTTTAATTCAAAGTAAAGTAATTAAAAGGGTTGCATTTTTCGAGCGACACAATTATAAATGGAATCTGTGTCTGTCGTTGCTCTTTACATTTTGTGCTCGTTTTCAGCTATTTCTGGGCATTGTTGTTAATAACTGTTGTTCATATTCATGCAAATTGAAAAATCTCGGTCAAAAAGCATAATATGCAGGCAGCGTAGCAGAATCAGTTGCTTTTCGCCCCTTATTACGTGCCCCAAACTGCTGAGGGAGAAGACCCAACAAGCGTTGACAAAGCGAATACGCACTGAAAACCACACGCGCACACTCACAGATACACACACACACACACACATGCAAACCACGAACCGAACTGCAACTGCCGCCATTTTCATTTCCATTTCATTCGCTTTGTTAACTGCTGGGATTACGGTTTCGGGCTGTTGGCCTACGGTGCGGTGCGGTGCGGCAAGGATTGAGTTTTGGGCTTGTCATTTGGTTAGTCGAAACGTCGCTTGCATACAAAGCACAACATAAATTCAATATAATAAACATGTGATGCCCAGGACACAACCTACGCCCAGCCCGGCCCCCTCGCAGCCCCATCAAAAATCCTTAACAATTGCAATTGGCTAAACAATAACATGGCAAGCCTTCTTGCCTAGTCGCTGCTGACCCAGTTATGTAACGCCCACTAAACGAAGCGCTTTTATTTTATTTATTTATTTTATTTTTTTTTAACTTGTTTTCAGTTTATTGTAATACACACACTCACATACAACGCTGTGCTGATGGATGTGGCATTGCCACATTTCTCGTTGACTCTCGCATTGCTTTAAACTGAAGTTTTGCCCCGAAGTTTAGCTGGTCTGAGCTGTTGTGGCTCTGGCAAGTGAAATTGCTTGTAATGCATTACAAGGCAAAAACTTTTCTATTGCCTGCTTTGAGGAGTGCCTCTTGCCCCCAACCCTGGCCAAGTGTCTGTCTTGTGTCGCTTTACTTATTTTGAAACGGCTTTGTCGCCAACTTGCCTGCAGTTGGTAGCTGTCCCTCGACCTCCCCATTCTCCAACCAACCCAATTTGGTTTGGGGTTTGAGTTTAGTTCTGTCAGATTATTGGCTGGTTTATGCCATAGTGCCTTCGACTGGGAGCTCTCGGCGTCTCTCGTCTGCCTTTTGCCGTTATCTCTCGATATGCAGCTTTTTTTTGGGTAAGGGAGCGGCAGCGGTCAACTTTGTCTTGATTATTTTTGCAATCAATGTCGGACAAAGTTTTGCTCAACTCTGGCGAATTTAATATGGTAATTATTTGTGACCCAAGCAAAAAGCTAACAGTTTGCTGCAGCGGCATTAAGACTGCAATTTGTTGGTTTTAAGTCAATTGGGTATTAAGGACATAGGCCCCCCACAGACTAATAGTGCCTGACGTATGTGTTCGTATATATATATATGTATATATATATATATATATATATATATATATATTTATCGGATTGTACACGATTTTCTTCACAGTGCACAAGTATTTTAAAACTTATCAACTCGTCCTGAAAATGTAAATTTTGTCTTTTAAAATATTCTGAGAAACGAAAAGTTGAAAGAAACTCAATTTCATTTAAGATTTCATCTGCATTAAAAAAAACACAATTTTAAATACAGACTCTTTTTGAATAAGTATGTCAAACAAATTTATTATTTTAAAGCTGAATTTGAATAAAAATTAAAAAAAGCATAACTATTGAGTAACCTGAGTGCGCAGCAATCAAAGCTATTAAATATCATCGAATATTCTTAAAGATAATATTTACAAATTTATAAGGAAATTATATCGAGATTTCTCTAATACAACATTTTAGTAGCTTATCAAGCTGCCTTTTCTTAACCTCTACGCTTCACTCGTGCCCTTATTAGGCCCCCATTTTGATCTCTGAGAGCAATCGATAATTTTCTGTAAATTTTGTAGAAATGTTATGTGAACTTCTGCACCTCGTGTCAGTTGTTAATAAGTAAATTGAAGCAAGTTCGCAGAGTTTCAGTCATGTTTATGCAAATTGACAGCCAGAGCCTAATGGCAAAATGCTCTCAACCCGGCTGCCGCACCAAACCTCGCACAGTCTGTTGCACAGGAAATTCACAGACAGCCGTCTAATTTGCATGGTGCCACCCGCAACGAGGAACCACCCAACCATGTGTGCCACTCCATCAGGCAACCCAATTTTCAAATTTCACACACTCAGCCACGCAACACTTGAGCGGCTTATTAACTAAGCTCAACGTTAACCGAAAAATGCTTTTAAATGCTTCGAGGCAGGAAAACGTGATGTAATGGAGGGCGCCAGAAAATATTACGCATACGCTATGGCAGCCAGCACTCATTACTCATTACGCATACGCCGCATAATCCTCTGATTGCTTTTCTCATTTTTTATGCACTCTGGCAAAGTTTTTGATATCTAATTTTGTTATCACAAATTTCTATGCGGTAAACAGAAAAAACGAAAAATATGAAAATATGTATGGCTGGCCCTCGGTTTAGGGCTCTGCAAAACACATTATCGAAATGAGTTTTTGGCTAAAACAGCAGCATCACCAGCCACAGCCGCAGCCACAGCAGCCAAAACAAGAAGCATAAACAAGTCTTGAACACTGACGGGCAGGGGGCGGGCACAGCATACTCGTGCCCCTCGTCAGCTGCCATAAATACTAGAAATATGTTGGCTGACAAGCACACAAACAGGATAGTGCGAAGTGTGGACAAATCTGTGCGACATACACATAAAAGGATAACACACATGATATACAAGTATTTTTCAGCTTTAATTCGAATGCGGCTGGCATAAAAACTACAATTCAGTTAAATACAATTCTTTTATACACTGTGTACACTACAAAAACAGACTAAACTGGGATTTAAACTGACAGAGCAGGGGATTATTGTACAGCCAATGCAGTAAGATCCTTGTAGGTGCTTTAAATAAGTTGGCCTTTATACCGCCAGGAAAAACTCGTAATGTGATTTATGGGCAATATAAATACATTTTATATTTGTACTTAATTAACATCATTTATTTACAAGTCATTTTAAAAATCTTTGGCAAAATGAATCAACTGAAATGTTTTACAAAACACCCTTGACTCGCACAAGGAAAAGGCTATAGTTCCGACTTCAAGTTAACTTATAAAAGTGTAAAATTTTTGCCATGCCCACCGACGCCCTCACAAACCAAAAAAAAAACAAAACCGTAAATTTTCTCTCCAATTATATTATTATTATTGATATTATTTATATCAGTTTCATTATTATTATTATTTTTATTATTATTAATATTATTATAATTATTACTTACTTTCACTCATATTTTCTCCAAAATTGATGAGCAGAGGACAGGACATTTAACCGCCACACTCTTGACTGTCTTCCTTACTTTTTTTGCTGCTGTGTTGCCAACATATGGCTTTAACTCCTTTGTTGTTTTTATTTTCATTTAAGCTGATTTACTTTTCACGGCTACTGAAATCGTTTTGTGTTCGTTCGCTTCTGTTTTTGTCTGGCTGCGCAAAATGTCGTAAATGACTTGTAAAATGTTTAAAACCATTTACGATTTTTTGCTTTTATTTTTATTCAAATGACAAACTATTAATATACATTATATAATAAAAGACAAAAACATGCATCTAAACATGACACAATGCAATTAATAAAGATGTCAGGAATTTTAAATATAGTCAATAAGTCTCATAAAACAAGTAAGAGGCTCTATTCGAGAGCTACCGACTAGGGAATACCCTGAACCCTCTTCTACCAACACCAAATGCAGCTCGAGCTACGCGCTCGTTTGCTTCAGCAGTACTAAAAATTAATTTAAAAAAAAAGTGTTTCCTCAATAGGGCTCGAACTCGTAACAGACCACGCTATTTGCGACTGCCCCTTCTCAACAGCCACACAAACAATTGAGTTTCAATGAAAAAAACAAAAAAAAACGAATTAAAATAGCACAAAAAACAATACAATCGCAATTGCCGTGCTGTTGATAGAATTCCCTTGAATGTGTGTGTGTGTTTACATGTATACAGAAGTTCTTGCAATTTGCGCTATCTGCCGCAAACACGAGGCCAGCCAAAACACGTTTTCTTTAATAACTTCTGTGTTTCTTAACCGATCTTGATGACCTTTTCAACAGTAAATCTTATTGTACAATAGAATATTTGTAAATTCTCAAAAAGTCACTTGCATTAAAATTGTGGCTTGAATTTGTGGGCAAAACATGTTGCTTTATTAATTTGATTTATAGCTTCGTGGTGGCAGCGGGGAGGTGGCCATAGCTATAAAATGAAAGATACTTAATATATATATATATACTATTCTAGAAGCAACTTATCAAGATTGGTGACTCTAGCTCTTAAAATAATAAGATTTGCTAAAAAAAAAATGGGATATCAATATATCAATACATTCGGACAGATTGACGGACATGGCTAGATCAGACTCGACTATTGATGCTGATCAAGAATATATATACTTTATGGGGTCGGAGATGCTTTCTTCTGTCTGTTACATACATTTGCACAAATACATTGTACCCTTTTTACCCATTTTAATGGGTTCAGGGTATAAATATAGACTTAACATCAAACATTTTTTAAGCTTATAGATAATATGATGCTCTGTTTCATATTATACATCAATAAAGAATAATATGAAAAAATTGTTTAAGCTACCCAACACAGCAAAAACATTGATAAGCTTTGACTTTTGAACATTTTAAAATTAATATTTTAGAAATATACCGAAAGAAGCGGTCAAAAATATTGAGCTGATAATAATAATGTCATCTAAATTCGATGATTATTTTTATTGACGCAATGATTTTTACGACTTGAATGCATATATGTACTGGGAACAATCAAAAAGGTTTTCTTGGCTTGATTCGCAAACAGGTCTCAGTCAGTTTATGATTTCTAACGCTGAGCAACGGTTGCAAATCTCGAATTAATTAGCTGAAAATGGGAATATATTTTAAGCAATGGGCACTTTTATTAATGCCCTTACTAGTTCAATCAAACGGAGTATCGACAAATGACTCGGTTGGTGTCTCAAATGTAATGTCAATTATTTGGATTCTAATTTAAAGTTAAACGCAGTGCACAAGGGATTCGAGAGAGAAGGATTCGGAGTGCGGAACCTACTGCTATAAAGTGGTTAAACCGCTTCTTAGCTACGCAGCCTCTATACGAGCAAAGGAAGAACAATTCCTAGATTTAGAGAGTAAAATCAATGAGCAAAAGGCGGTTATATTAAATTTGGACCTTCAACTAACTCATCAAATCGACTTGACCACCTCGTATAAAAGCAATATTGCACTGTTACAGAAACAACTCGTCTCAAATGATGTTCTTATAACTAATTTGCAATCCAAAGTTAATTCGGCAGATTCCCTAATCAATGAAAAAGATGAAGAATTAAAGATATCGCGATCGAAGCAAAAAAATAATGAATCTAATGTTGCCAAGATCAAACAACTTGAATCAAAACTCTCAGAGTGTGAAGCGATGTCTATAGTCTCTTTAATGCGACAATGATGAGGCTACGGGTAACTGGCCGTATTTACGAGTCTGGATGGTGGTTTTCTGACTGTTATAACTGGTGAACAGTTCCGAAATGATCTAATTTTAACACCAGCTTATCTATAATTTTTTTTTGTAGATGGACGATACACATCGGAAGATGTTGGGATCACTGGGAAAAGAATAGGTTGGAATTCATGGCAACTGAAACCTCTTAAGTTCAGCCAAATGATGAAGGCCAAAGTCTTCTTAAATCTTATATTCTTTGAGTTTTTAAAACAATGCTTGTTTTTAATAAAATCAATAACTTTAGGCTTAATACGATTAAAAATAAGAATATTAAATACTCTTGTAGAGTTGATCTTGGTACGATGTTGATAAGATTCGGCTTGTATGTAAATAAAACAATAAAACTAATAAGTGCTGAGTAAGGTCAATCATCTTGAAGAAAAGTTCTCCATTAAACAATGTGCCTTACGTCCGATCTTTCGTACAACGATATCTTTAAGACTGAGGGATAATTTCTCATAGAAACAAAAAGACGGATTTATCAAGGGTCGGATATTTCCTATTCTATTTAATAACAAAAACAAATAACATCCTTTACGAGGGTATAATAATAACAGCCAAATTAAAATGATTATCATTGACGTGGGGGTGAGGTAATTGTTTAATAGCTCGCCTGGCTGCTGCTCCATTGACGTCTTAAACACTGATAATAATTTTGAAAATGCAAAATACGAGATTTCATTGTTGAGATTACGCTTTACTCGTTATCGTAAGTTTAAACTGAACTCTAAGCCTCTGACTTGGGAGTTGTTGTCTGTATGTACATATAGCCCGGCAGCTGTGCTGCACCTAAGGCATTTGCCATCGGATTTTATATTTAAGCAGCGTACGAATTGGGCAGCTAAAAGCAGCAACACCGCCCCTTAAACACATAACATGTGAGGGCTACTTGATGTTGCATTAGTTTGGGGCTAACTCTGCCGACCCCCCTCCCACTTTTTTAACCATGCTTAAACTAGGCTGTTGAACTACCAAGAACGAGTTGGGGAGACGCCCACAATAGCAGGAGCAGGAGCAGCAGCAGCTGCTAATGTGCCTTTGTCTTTGGTCATGTTTTTGAGAGTGTTCGTGTGTGTGTGTGTGTGTGTGTGTATATATATATACATACATGTATATGTATGTGCCTATTTGCGCGCCTATGTGAATGCAATGCTTTGCTGTTGTAATTGCTGCTATTACAGCTGCCTGTTTGTTTGTTTGCTTGGATTGTTGCTGTTGCCTTTAAGCTAAAGACTTAATGCGCTTTGGGAGAGAAAGAGAAAGAGGGAAAAACAGACAGAGAGAAAGAGAGAGTGAGAGAGAAATTATGGACAAAAAGGGAAAATAAAAGTTAAATCAGTACAAGTACTACAGGCTCTTGACGAGGTTGAAAGCATTTCTGCGAAAGTGGAAAATATTTCCATACAAAATAAAATAACAGACTCCCAGCCACATATATGTGCATACACATGCACACATACATATATGTAAGAATATCAGCGTGTGGTACATACAAGTCTTTTGTCAGTTCCTTACATCTTTGGGCCTTGGTGACTTTGCAATTTGCTTGCTTTTCGCTTTTCAAGGAGGTTTTTCAAATTATGCACTCCACACACACACACACAAACACACACGCGCGCGCATCCTTGCTGTTACCTTTTCCGTTTAGGTGTTGTGCTGTTGTGTTTCTATTGTGACTGTGAACTTTTATATGGAGCACACTCTGAAGTGCAAACAATGTCAACATGTGATTTTCCTGCACACAATTTGCTAGTTTAGTGCAAGGCCATATTAAAAATTGAAAATCCTCCCAACAACATGTTTTGTAGTGAGGAGACTTTACACATCATTTTCAAATGTTGTACAAAGCAATATGTAAGTGTGTTGGTAGATTGTGCGTTCTGACGGAATCGAAACTTCTGTTTTTAACTTCAGTTTACTTCCACTTCCATTCGTTTCATAGTTTTAATGTTGTCTACGCAAATAAGAGCGAAATTACTCTTTGATAATATAAAAAGTTGGTAAAAAAATATGCATGCGTTTTTTGAACTGTTTTGACTGTTTTTCCAAATAATATATAATTATTTAATAATTAATATTCTGTGTAGTTACAAGAATATTAATTTTGTTTTTACAAGAGCTTGTAATAAATCACCGAATGGGCACCCTTTATTTATTTAAAAGTTTTCCTTCCAATTTAATGCGCCCCTCGCGCTGCAAGCCCTTTCCAAAAGTACGCCAATTACTGGGCACGTGCGTTAAGTCGGCAGCCCCATCAATTTACATGTAAATCGGCTCATGCTGAAAAAATAAAAAAAATATAAGAAATGAAATAAATATAAGCATGGAAAAGAAAACGGAGCAATCAATTGATTCATTTTCATTCCACGAAATGGTGAACTTGAAGGAAATTTTTCATCTGATTGGATGTTTTCCGTAGCTTTTGCTGATAAAAAAATATAAATCCAACAATAACAAATTTAAATCGCTGCGCAGCATAAAAACGAAATCGAAAATAAACCGCAATTGAAATCAAAAAGAAAAAGGAAAAATACAAAATCCCAAAAAAAGATGGAATGAAAATTATAAGCCAAATGCCAGACAAACGGAGTTTTATGCTCAAGAAAATTCGGACTAAAAACCGCACAAATTCAAAAAGTTTTAAGGTTGAATTCATTTTCTAATTATTTGCAAGTACAAAGTAAATTATTTTTAATTTACTGTTTTTTTTATTTATTTTTGATCATTTCCTACTGCCCCTTTTAGCTGCTTTTTTTCTCAGCCAAGTTTATTTTTTAAGAAGCTTGGCGCTGATAAAATGATTGCAGCGGTACGTGATTTATTGCATTTTTCTAGGATTTTATTTGACATCCCTTCGTGCGGTTTTCATCGCTGCTACGACGCTTACTTCGCTGCGGCTGCGGTCAATCCGCCCCTTAACCGCATTCTAACCAACATTTCGTTAGCGCTAAAAGTTTCCGAGTCGTGGGGCGGGTGAATCTGTCCTTTGTTTATGCTAGGGGTCTGTCAACTGACCTGACGTAAGTCTTATAAGGTTCTGAAAATTTGCAATAAAACGAAGAAAAAATCTTTTGTGCAAAACTTTGAGTTTTGCTTTGCTTGCAGCAAACAGGTGAAACTGCTTGTTAAGTTTTAAGCGAAATTCGCATAAGTATCTTCAAAAGTTGTGTACATTTAAATTAAGTTTAGGACTAAGCTCAACGATTTTGGAGTAAATAGATTTTGCTTACGCTCGTATTCTGGAGCTTGCTCTTTAATCTTATTATAATTCTCTCGTGTGGCACATTCGTTTATTATTTCCATAATACTTAAAAATTTATTAATAATTTATTTAAGTGATTAATAATAACCAATAATATAAATACATTTAATAAAAAACGTGTTTCAATAGCTTGACATATATATATTTCTAGCCTTTTCCAAGTACCAAGAGTATTTTTAGCTCTCAACGTATTTAACGTACAACGACAGAAAAGCTGCTACTTTCTTTTACTCACAGAACACACAAAATTGTAATCATATTAGAAATACATCAAAAATTGAAAAGCACAAAAACAGTTTTAAATTGCCAAAAAGCAGGCAATATAAACGAATAGCAAAGCCAGTGCCCACATCATCCATCAACTTCAGACTGTTGAAGCCCAAGCAAAAACGAATCTCAATGCATGCCCGACGTCAGGATTTTCTGGGGGGAAAGTCTTATCTAAAACGTGGCGTACTGGAAAAGTGCAGCAACAAAACAGGCAGCGCTCAAAGTGAAATCAGCTTAACGAAATTGCACACACACACACACACAAACACACACACACACACATACATGCACACAAACCGACTTAAGCCTATCAATCAAAATGAGCATATAACCACCCAAAACGCTGACCAACAGCTTAAAATATTCAACTTGAGCGCATTTAAGCCCATTTTGTGCGAGCTACTGCAACCAAATTGAATCATCATTGAGCATTTAAGGGGAAGCATGAAGGGGGCTGGCCAGAAGTTGTGGATGCTGAGTATATGACACATGCAGTTAAAAATGAATAAACGCGGACATCGAACGAATTTTCCACTCTCGATGTGGTCGCATTAAACGCTCGTTTGGCCTGACACAAAACGACGTGGATCGATTGGACAAGACATATCAAGAATTTTGGGTTAATGGAATTTAAGTGAGAGAAGAAAAAATAGAAGAAAATCGACCAGAAAGAAAAGTTAAGTTCGGTATGCCGAAAATTAAACACGCTTGGAAAATATACGTCTTAATATTCATATTTTGGATTTTATATAAAACATTCTGGGCTGTTTATTCTATATGAGTAACAGAAGTATTCCTGAATATACTGAAAACTAAAATCGTATCTTATTTTTAAATGAGAATATGGTCCGATTTGGTTTCGAGTTGTTAAGGTGGAAAGTTTGATGTTCCTTGATATAACTCAATTTTTAATCGATTTTTACTATAGTAGCAATAGAATCTAATCAGGTGTTAATGCGATAAAATGTTTTAGAGATAGCCATATATAGTGTCTGGGTTTGGTAAAAATATATTGAAAAATCAAAACGTATCGTATACAGAAAATAAATTAATAGACAAATTATATTAAGAAACATGTTTAATTTAGTTGAAAATTTAATACAAATTCAAAAAAGTTAATAAAATAAGTGTATGATATAATTTATTTGAATTTAATCCAAATACGTATATGAAAATGTATCTACCTTTATCGCCCCAGTCCGACAAGACTATATAGTGTGTTTAATGTGCTCGAAGATGCGCTCTCGAGCGCATTTCCCACGCAAGCCCATTAGAATGCACAGAGAATGGTTTTTTGTGGGCGACAGCGGCAGCTGATTGAACATTTTTCAATCAACTGTTCAGCAGCCGGCGCCCAAAGCAACTAATTTGAGTCTAGAAAGAGCAGAAGAGAGAAGCGTCCACCAGTTTTGCCAATTCAAGGCGAGATCTCTGCCAAACTGGTTTCTTCATAATACTTTTTCTGTGTTATCGATGAGCTCAAACCAGAGACAAATGAAAGCGAGAGAAAGAGAAAGAGAGGGTAAGAATTGAGAGAAATGATAAAAAAAAGAAAAGTTGTTTTCCGTAAAAGTCGGGCAATTGTCGGGCCTTGGCTATTTGCAGTTGTTTTTCATTTGCTTGGCTCCGGTGTTGGTCAAACGCTTTGCCGTATTCAATTTTTTCTTTCTTCTTTTCCCCCTCGCAGCAGCTAATAGCGAAAGTCGTTTTCAGCTCGTTTCTTATGTGGGCCAAATGTGCAGCTGCTTGCCACAAGCTAGCCGAAAAAATAAAAAATGGGCCAGCACACCGAAGGAAGCAGGCAACAGGCTGCAAGCGCGAGTTTCAGCTAGCAGCTGAGATAAGATACATATTCTTTTTGGGCAAGCTCCAAAGTTCATTTGATAAATGGTTTCACTTGTGGCACTGACTCGCATGTTTCGAGTATCTAAGTTCAGGTTGAGTTTCAGTTATCATAACTTATAATATATGCAATGCTGAGACAGCTTATTGACGATTGGAAAAACATTTTAAATTTCTTAAATTAAGTAAATGAAACGTGTTACAGTTATGATTTCATTTTGATTTCAATATACATATATCAAGCTTACGAACTGAATTGAAAATAAACAGAGAGTACTAAAGTTTACTTAATCAGATCGACGTTATTCTGAATGGATAATGATTAGTATTTGAATTTCTGATCGTACTTAAATAATCCTCACCTCTCATTTATAAGGCCAGTAACTAATTTATTTCGATTTTTAATGATGTCAATTGAGTAAAGTAAACGGTTGGGCAATCTTTGTTAGACGAGTTGTCAAAGTGATCCTAGGTTCAAGTCCCAGTCTAGTGTAAGGTTTTTAAATTTAGGTTGATATTTTAGCCGTACCATAGTGGAAAATAGAATTGTCGGAATTCTCGGAATTTCTTAAAAGTTTTTGGAATTAATATCTTGTCTCGGACATATCTATAATAATTCATTGCTGAAACTGTGGAAATATCAAGTCTCTCCCGCTCTTCCCTGATTCCCATAATTTCCAAAGTCTTTTGAATAGTCTGTTGTTAAGTCAGCGTATATTTTTTTAAATTTATGTTCAACTTTATTGCAACATTGTTTTTTTTTTGCGACTCAATTACAGGTCGATATTTTCTCCTTTTATCAGTTGTTGTTGATTAACTTACTGATTGTTGACATTGGTAACGAATAAACATGTTAATTGGTTCTCAATGATCAATAATTAACATAATTAAGTTATGTTCAACTGTTTACTTGATTCCAGCTGACGAATATAAATTATTTTTTTAATCGGGGGCAATAATTATACCCGATTCAAAAGTTTTTACCGGTAACAGCAGGGTATTACAAACAAAGAATTATAGTTCTATAGTTTGCTCAAGCATTCTGTTTAATTACCTCTCTTAAGACCGTTGGCTGTTTGCTTTAACGTTTTTTTCTCTAAGGAAATTATCCTCCATTTTGCTGGCATTCATTTTGAGCGGCGCCCACATTTCACATGCCATCGCCACCCTTCCAAAAAATTTCCCGACCATCCTGCATGCTTTTTGCGTATTTTTCATTATTTTGTCGCATTTTAAGTAATTAAAATTCCCTACTCTTGGCAGATGCATATTCACCATTCTTTCTTTTCTCTGCGTATATACAACCCAGACAGACTCTACACTTGTATCTGTGTCTTTATGTGTTCTGTATATATATAGTTGTGTTCTGTATCTGTGTTGACCGCAGCTATTCTGACGTTATATTCATTTTCCTATCGATTTTTGCGGTTTTTTGAACGCAATTAACCTTCTGCTCTTAGATTCTGCTTTGGTTTGAATGTTCCCAAACTTTTTGGCTTGATGAGCAAATTGTTGTAGTTGTTTTTATAATTGTTTTTGTTGTTGTTGTTATTGCTGTGATACCCTTCGTTGAGTTTTCCTATTGAATTTTGTCTGCTCTTCTGGTATTTCAATCGGTTTTCCCAGCTGTCGGCTTGTGTCTATTTTTCATTTGTATTTACTTTGCTAATCCTTGCCGATAATTTGATGTGGTTCTTGGATCTGTGGCCCAGTTGAGGCACCACTATTAGATTGCCAGCAAATATTTGCGGCATGCGGCATGCGGATTAGGTTCTCTACTTAGTTCGTTTCGGCTGCCATTTTTAGTGAATTTGTGGCTTTTGTGGCGGATCCCAACAGATACAAATGCGTAATAAACAACAAAGTATTAATTAAATAGAAATCGTTTTAATATTATTTGTTGGCAGTCTATTTCCCTAGGCAATCATCAAAGGCTTTAAAGTGAAAAGAAAACATCTTACAAATGTATTTGTCCATAATTATAAAAATAATCATTAAATATGCAGAAATGGTAAAGAAATTTATGGACAAAAGAGAAATATTTACAAATGCCATATGAAAATAAAAAGTCAAAAATTTAAATTAATTTTTAAAAATTGATTAAACAGTTCATTAAAACTACACACTTTTCATGTGGTATCTAGTCTCACATTTTCTACTATGTTCGAAGTTCTGTTTCATTTGACAAAGTAGCTGTCTATAAGAATTGCATAAGAATCATCAGCATTCAACGATAAATCTTGGCGTAAACCCAATTCCAATTGCACTGAATCCCAGCTCAAATCGGCTAGCCGCAATTTCAAATTAATTGAAGGCCGGAAATTGAAAAACAACGTCAACGCTGGATGCTGCTTGCTGCAACACCCCCGCATTCCCCTCCGGCCCTGGCCACATTTTAAAAATACACGACAAACGCAACGGGCACACTGGAAATTGCAACAACATTGAACGGAACACCCACAGCAGAAGCAGCAGCAACAACAACAACAACAACAGCAAAAATCGTTCGAAATGCCTCACGTTTGCTGCATTTCATTGCTATTTGAGCTTCTGTTTTGTGCGCTTCGTTTGCTGATTCGCTTAATACTTTTAACGTTTCATAGCATTTAATGGCTGTAAAAGTGGGCCAACGGACCTCAAACCAACCTCTTGCCGGTGCTGGCCCTGGCTCTGGCTCTGGCTATGTCTGTGCTTCTAGCCTTGGCTCTTGTTTTGCTGACTGTATGTGTGCCTGTATGTGTGTGCGGCGCCTGTGCGTATGCAATGCATTTTCTTGTAATGCATTTTACTTTTGCAGTTACTCTCAATGTCGCCCTGCAGCAGCACTCGTTCACTTTTGTGGGCGTGGCCTGTCGAACTTGAAGTGCAAGTGTAAAAGTGCCAAAGTGGAGCTTGTCCCTGACACAAACATATTTATTTTGGCAGATGGACTGGAAACCAAACCAGAAATGGCAGAACCCAAGCCAACAACACACACACATACACACAGAGAGAGACATATATCTGCTTTGCAGCTTGTGCAACATTTTTAATGCATTTACAAACACACACACGCGCACACCTACGAACACATACACTCATAAATGCATTACTTGTGCGCAGTTTGGTTCTGCCTGTTGGTTGTTGCCCGTTCGCTGGCTTAAGTGTGGGCGTGCCAGATTGCCTAATGGAGTGTTATGTGCCAGCTACCTATATATATATAAATATATATATATATATATGAGACTCTGCTAGGTTGAAAGCATATAAAATACTGATTGGTAGACTAACACCTTAACTGCTTGTGAAGCAATCAGGAATTGTGTACCTAAAAAAAACACAATATCATATGTGAAGAGGTTATGGTAACAAATGTGACTACGGCTTAAAGTAATAAAATGTCTAAAGGGGCTTTTGAAAATGATTTCCTTGTTTTAAAATTGTTTGAACATATTTTAAAAAACAAATTCGATCGTAATAGATATTTTATTTATTTTTATTAGAGCATTTTTTAATCAATTAAATGTTGTTTTTATGGAATATCTAATTGAAAATAAGTAGATAAATATTTCACAAATACTTTTATTTCAGTAAATTTTTCGGAGCCTAAAACTGACTTTTTAAAGTCTCTGCAGTTGATTCAACATATATAAAACTTTAGTAATTTCTAAAGTACATATTCCATGAGACTAATACTTATATCTAAATTAGTTTATAAAACAATTAAGGAAATACAAAATTAATTTTAAATTCTTTAGTATTCTTGTTCTAAAGCCAACTTAAAAGAATATACAATTATCTTAATGTTTTAAACTATGATAAAAAACTTTATATCAATTCCTTTAACTAATTATATATTTATTTTCGCTCTTTGCTATTTACAGGTCGTGAACGACTCAATGAATACATATCCCACTATGAAACACTCAACTATGATCATGAGCACATTAGAGCTAGTCACAATAGAGCGCGTCGATCGGTGACCAAAGATCATTTTGTACATTTAAAGTTTGCAGCACATGGAAGAGACTTCCATCTTAGATTAAAACGTGATTTAAATACATTTAGTGATAAGTTAGACGTGAGTATTATAAACATATTACCTTAATTAATTCAATATAATAATCTGTATTCATTTGTTAACACAAACAGTTTTATGATAGCAACGGCCCCATTGATGTCTCAACGGATCATATCTATGAGGGCGAAGTGATAGGGGATCGTAATAGTTATGTATTTGGTTCCATACACAATGGGGTATTCGAGGGTAAAATTATAACGGAACGTGATGCCTATTATGTTGAACATGCCAAACATTATTTTCCCACAAATCGCACGACGGCGACGGCGACGACGACCACCGCAACTGCATTGTCCTCGACGACAACGGGGTCCACCAGCACACTAGACAACAAAAAAACTGCCATTGATAATAAAACAGAAAAGTTCATAAATAAAAATGCTGAAACCACATCTACAAGCGCATTCCCAATGTACCCACGCAGCACTTCCGAGCAGCCAGAATCAACGACAATGTTTTCACCGACGACCACAACAAATGAGTCTGTGGATGGGGATAAAAACGCTGCAGGTGCCCAGGACGAAGTTGATTTTCACTCCATTATCTATAAGGAGTCACACGTTGAGGATGCCTACGAGAATGTGCGCGAAGGTAAGTCACAAGCGAAAATCCAAACAATTTTCTTGAAGTGAAAAATTTGCACGTTTATTATTAGGTACAGAAACGACACCACAAGCAAAATATGAAAAGCGTTGTCATATGATTTATATGCCGTGTCAAGTTAAGACTTCATTCGTTCGTTTTTTTTTTTTGTTCGAGTCAACCTTGAAAGTGTTTGATAACATTTCACTTCAGTTTTGACAGTTGAGTTGCGTCTGTCCCAAGTGCTTGCTAATAATTTTCGGGTGTACATCGTCCCAGTAAGTGGGACTCAAGTTGTCAAATTGTCAAAGGCGAAGGCTATATAAATAGCGTTATGTGCTTTGGTTAACCAACTGAAGTTTGGCAACAGTGCTGAAAAGTATAAAAATATCTAGGGATTGTTAAAAACATAAGTGGGATTAAGTCAAAGGAGTTCTAAAAGCCTTTTATTATTATAAAAAAAGAAGAAGATATAATGCGTCTAAGTTGTATGCTAATAACGCGAAAAAATATGAAAAAATAAAACTTTAATCTATTTAAACCTTAACTTAGAATATGTCTACGACTTTACTGCTAGCTGCAGGCAGAATAAGCTCTATTTATGGACGTAGCATTTATGAAGCATTTTGTAGGTGCAGAATATATATAAATAATGAAATAACTTATTTCCAATTAAGCGATAGGGACGTTATTTCATTCAGATTGAAGTTTGGCAACATTGCTTAAATTTCGGCGGTATATTTAAAAGTTGCCAAATAATATTATTATAATATTTTCTAAAATACCTGACAACTTGAATACTGAACATACGCTCAACATACTCAACATACTGAAACGGGAAAACAGGAAAAAAGTTCTTAAATGACATTTAAGGATTTTTTGTATAGTTTTTATATTTAGTAACTTATTAACTTAAGCACTAAGGAAAAACATATTTATATCTTTTATTTGAAATTTGGCAACGTTGTTGTTAACATATCCCCTGGAAACGTCAGCTGCAGCGGCATGTAACAAAGCAGTCATGTATGCAAAAAAAAAAAAGAAGAAGAAACCCTTTGCCACTTGAATGGTCCACGCTTTTATGCAACTCTGCAGCAAACTGAGGCACAGTTGATACACACAAATACGTAAGCAGTGGCAACATAGCGGCAACAATGACACTGGCAATGAAAGTTGCTGCAACATGTGACCATTGTGCATGCAACATCGTTGTTGTCATTGTGCAAACAACAACAGCTTCCCTTACAAGTGTAGACGTTCACGACGAAAGCGTGGCCCGCCTTCAACAAAAAAAAAATAACGTAGTTGTTGCAACAAAAGAGCTGCAACGTGGCAAATAGAAAATGAAATAAAAAACAAATCTAATGCATAACTAAATAACTACAACAAGAGGCAGTGGGGCAGATGTGCGAGGGAATGCCCCTAATGCTCGCGGGAATTTGTTGCAAAAATTGCATGCAATTTGACAGACAGCAACAACAACAATGAATACAACTATTGTCGCGGGCGCATTTAGTAAAGTTATGTATGTGAGTGTGCATCCGTATGCGTGTGTGTGTAATTTTGTGGGCGTGCCGTGTGCGTGTGCGTACATTTGGGTGTAATCATTTTAATGAGCTTACACAAAAGCCACTTACATTTTAGCCGGTCTCAAATTGTTGTTAGTTGGGCGACATTTGTTGCCGTTTGTTGCATTTGATTGATGCACTTTACACTGATTCTAACTGATTGTTTAACTTACTTTTCTGTGTGAGAGTGTGGGTGTGCGAGTGTAGGAGAAATGTGTTACATTTAATTAGTCCCGTTTTGGTTGCGCGCGGCTATTTAGCATATTTTGTGTGTGTTTAGACAACAGCTTGAAATAATATGTCAAAATGTTTTAAATCCCCAGCATAAATCATCCTAATTAAAAGTCTTGTTATAACTGTCATGTGAATTGAAATATCGAATTAATAATAGAGCTCTGCGGGCTGAATTTATAAAGCGTTGCCACTTAATTGACCACAAGTGAAGTGTGCCAACAGTGTCAAATGAAGTGGGGCAACACCAATGCAATTATTTTGGAAATAGTTTATTATTTAATATACGCTTAGTTGTCAAATAGTACTAGTGCTTATATCGAGTGCTTAACAACAGTATTTTAATTTCTGGCAATGTTTTCAGCTATTTAACAAATAGTGAAGTATGGCAACAGCGCCATATTTGATCCACATTAAAACATACAAATAAAATGGCACTTAAAATGGAGAATTTGTTAGCTAATGAAGGGTGTCACAACAATTTAGTATGACATGTGTATATTAGAATTCAATGAATTTAATGCAATTAAAATTTGTTTGTATAATTAAGTGCGCTGTTGCCAATTTGCATTGCGATTAAGGGCACAACAGTAAAATTGTTCAAATATTTGTAAGTATGTAACATCGCTGTTTAACTTCCAATTAATGTTGAATTTTTCCACAAGTGAAATAAAAATATATCAATAAATAATTTCGCTTAATAAACTTGCATTGTCTACACTCTGAAAGTTTTTACTACTTTTAAGGGGTTTCACTTTAAAGGTTTTCTAATTTATTATGAAAAACTTGTGGCCAAAGCTGAAACAAGGCAAAAAGTGCACGAAAGTATACCGAAGTGCGTTAAAAGTTCATGGATCTTAGCCCAAAGAGCAGCACATAAAGTTCGATTAGTGCAAAGTGCGCTGTTGCCATGCTTCACTTGTTGACACACAGCAACTGAAAGCGCAACTTTTTACCCCGCCAGTAACTTACCCAGTTTTTAGTGCCTTTTATGGCTTAATTGCTGCCCAGCCATTCCACCAGCGTCTTAAACTGTCCAACTTTATTAGCTACTCTCGGCAGGCACGCACGCAACAAAGTATAAGAAAAAAAACAAGTAGGAGTTGGTGTAGTGAGTGCTCGATTCTGTATTACCCAGTAAACAGTCGGTGAACACATTCATATATATTGATATAAAAACACAAATGGCATCAATATCTTGTGCAACGATTAGGTATCAGAAAAATAACATTTACGTGATATGTGTAAACTACTTAAGAACTTACATACTGAGTATCTGTAGCTCTTATAAACCTCGAGATATGCGAATGTGTTTATGTTTTTTATTATATGTAATATGACCGCCCATATATCGATTTATTTATCGATCTACGTGTTGCATACAACTATGCCAAATTTAAAACCTTGTGTATTTATTTTCTGACATTTGTTTATTTTCTGACATGGGCATCTACATCAAGTATATGAAACTGGATCGGATATAATATCGTCAGGCTGTTACATACATTTTGAATTTGCTTATACCCTTTTTAAGCATTTCGAATGGGTACAGGGTATAAAAAGAAAACTATGTCGAGGTGTTTACGCTTGCAAGCTTATCAAATATGTAGTGCAGTCCTTTGGCACCCTTTCGACCCGTCTGTCCGTCCATCCATTCTCCCCCATTTAATACCATTTAGCAGCATATTAAGCTTTGTGCTAGAAATGAGCAGTTGCTCCAAAGCGAGAGAGAGTGAAATGGGGCTGGCGCCACTTGCCGCCCACTTTGATTACATTGTTGGGTTGTGTGCGGCGCGTCGTGTTGAATGCGTGTGTTGAAATCAACCAAGCGAGTACACGCATGTTGCCACAGAGCCCCTTCCAATTCAACTGTGCAGGACTTGGGCTTGACACACTGCCAGTCAGTTGGCAAGTAGCGAAGCGTACACAAGACGCTTCCCCCCACACACACACACACACTCCACGGGTTAATTCACACACACACACACACACTCGCGCGCTCGCACACTTACTTCACACACTGACTCCATTATGGGACTGCAGTCTGCACTTGCCACTTGAATGCTGCATGGAAATCACAATTTATACACATTGTTGTAATATAATTTTTGCACAGCCGAACAGAATGCAACTCAAGTGGCAGTTCTTTCTCTTGCTCACGCTCACGCTCTCCCTCTCTCTCTCTCTCTTTCTCTCTCACTCTCTCGCTCTCGCTCTCTCTCGCTCATTATTTTGCTACATTGTTGGTCGCGTTGCAGGCGCCCCAAGACTGGCCCCTGTGGGCTCGCTCCCTACTTTTATTACTCGAGTGCATTGGCCGTGGCAGCTTTATGCAGTTGCCTGCAACTGCCATTAATGCAATGCGGCTCATTTTATTTATGACACTTTGTTTTATTGCACTTCTTTTCCACGTTATGGTTATTTATACATAGATGGGCGCTTGCCACGCCCCAAAAACTATGGGCGTATAAATGTCAACAACCGATTAGCAACGCCAGTTTTGCAACGCCAGTTGGTTAACTGAAATTAAAATTTAATTCGAATTTCATGTTGTATACATTTTGTTGTTAAACGTAGCGTAAATATTGACTATGCTAGCAAGAGCTAAAATTAATCCTAATGCTAAGTACATTTTTACAAAATAATTTGAACTTTTAAAATCCGACGAAAATACTAAATATTACATATTAATTTTTTTAAAGCTTTTAACAATGCAGAAAACTTTAATATTAATTGATAATAATTATAAAAAATTATACATTAATAATAACTTAAAATAATAAACTATAATTTAATATGATATATTACATTGCATATAATTTAATATGATATATTACATTGCATATTCTTAATCAGTTTTAACAAGCGTTTTGATCTGGACAGTTCTTAACTCATTTAAAACAAATTTAAAAAAGCTTCCTCCATTTATTGCAGGCATTATATATGTATATTTGTTCGGTCAAAACCAAAGTTACAGTATAATAAAAAACGATTTTGTTTTAGAATACATTACAATACAATTACTTTCTTTACATTACTCTCAACATATGGCCAAAGTCTTATAAGCTCCAGTTTATATATTGTCTACATCAAGCAATTGGTTGGAAACTTAGATTTTTTTTAAAACAGAAATTCATTGCAAAAAAAAATAGCATTGGAATCAGAATTTCGTACTCATTTTATTTTTATTATTTAAAAATAAAACGTACT